TAAATAAAAATAAATAAAAGACCTATTATAGATTTATTTTCCACATATTTATTCCTGCTGACCTCACCCATACACTATAGAGCTTCAAAGCTGTATTATTAAATCTTTTTTCCCTTGAAAAACTCCAAAGACATTATTTATTTTGTCTAGTATTTGTTACTATGGCAGAGTTCACTGGCAGAGTTCATTTGTTACTATAGCAGAGTTCATTTTTTTCCCTGTATAAGAATTGTTTGTTCTACATGGATCTCACATTTACAGGAACTTTCCTATGTTATGAAAATTATAAACTCTAATTAAGATATGCCTGAATGTAACTATGAGTTGAAAAATAATTTTTAGGGATTGTTTCCTTCACTAATTTGGTTTTTGCTGCAGTTAAACTACTGTTATTTACCTTCACAACACTTTTAATTTAATGGTTTCATTTCCATACAAAACTTCACTTCCATAGATTCTTCAGGGTTAATCCTTCTTTACAATTTCATTTAATTGCATGCAAGGCCGATACCTTGCATTCAACCTAAGCAAGAATATGATAAATCCTTAAAATTTTGGTTGTCTTATATTTCCATATAATTTATGATAACATACTTTTTCGTTTTGGTCAGCTTTACCTAAAACACCTAGAACAAAGCTGTTTATTAGTGGATAGATACGTCCATTTCAAATCCTTCAAGCCTAAATACAGAGAAGATGATAGTTTATATGTACTATAGTTTAGTCTACTAGATCAATAGGTTATAATGGAGTAAAAAAGAAGTTTCAGTGGGAGATAACCACACTTATCTGTAAAGACTTTCTTACCTCTGAGTAGTGGAGCAGACTGAATTGTTTGTTGGAAAGAAGGCTCTTATGCAGAGCCATACTTGTATGCCTGGTGTACGTCTGAGTTTGGCTATCCCCCAAATCCCCACATCTTCCATTTCTTTTAGCCCCTGGCTAAATGGAGGGGAACCAGAAGTATGCGAGAAAGAGCACCATTAGATACTATAGAAAGCTCTCTATTTCTCTCAGGTATTCCCTCCTTCATCACATTCAATCAAGTATTATTTGGCCTCTCCCTCTATCGGATTTCATGTTTGAATGTTTTGGCATAAGACCTTTATCCTAGATTCCAGCATTTGCAATGAAATTTTCTGTAATTTTACATTATTTTTATCATTTCCCTGGAGATCTAAAAGATTTTTTGATGACTATGTTGAGAAGTACATCATATGAAAAGTGTGTCATCTTATTATGTTGAGGTAAAGAAAAATAATTGGAAGTCAGAGCTAAGAAGCAAACCTTTAGAAGCCAGGAAGCAGAACATCCAGCTGTAAGAATGAAGGTTCATCTTGGAACAAGGCAGAGAAAAAATTTTAATCTGTGGATAAGAGTTAAAAATGTATATTTGTACAACTCAGATTTCAGGAGATCAAAAATTTATGAAAGATTAGAATAAATTTAAGAGCTAGGCTTTGGTCTTTCTATAAAAACAGATATTCAGGTAGTATGACTTGAAAACCTACACCCTTCACCAGACAGGCTTTACAGCCTACCTTCAAAACAATGACATAATCATTTTGCCAGAAATGATGCCAAGCATTTCACTAATTTAGTCCATATATGTACTCCAAGAAGCAAGTATACTTATCATCCCCAATTTACAGATGAGAAACTTGGCAAAAGTATGTAACTTGCCCAAGATAATAGAGAGCAAGTGACAGACAGGAAATATGGGTAAATAACAGAACAAAGTTCACTCATATGTTACTCCCTTGCTATTCCAAGTGAGGTACAGGAATTAACACCATCAGTACCACCCAGGAACTTGTCAAAAGCGCAGACTATCAGGCCCCAACCCACCTTACTGAATCATAATCTGAATTTTAACAAGATCCCCAGGTGATATCTTTATATTAAAAGTATAAGCAGCACTGTGGTCCTGTTTATGATACGAGAGAGAACATCATCTTATGCTGGTATGACTGTTTAAAAAAGATGGATATTATTGTTATTGCATTTTTCATTTAGTACAAAGACTGCGGAATTCATAAGCTTAGCGATATAAAATTTAAAGGAGGTAAGGATGATGGACTACCTGTTGACCTTTGCTAGATCCCGAGTCAGAGGCCAGGGAAGAATCAGCAGTAACTCAGTTCAGAAAATGAAAGATGCTTCCCCAGGTGAAGCCAACAATGGAAACAAGAGGTAAAACCTCTCCTAGGAGGTAGCAGATAGAATGCTCAAGAAAATTCAGAGTTGGAAGAAGCCACAACAAGAAACATTACAAAAGTATCAGAGAGATTGAAAGTAAGTGGGAAGTTAGGCTTTAGAATTTAGTCAGGATTAGAAATATTGAAAGGATTAGAGTAGAATACAAAATCATAAATTTCCCTCATGGGACTGTTCTGATAACAGAATGGATACTCTGCTCACAAGAGAAATAAAAGGATACATCCCTTTGCAAATGTTATGTTTTCATACCCTTAAAATAGAAATTAAGTACTGTCAAAATGACTGCAAATACTTAGGTAGTTCCCATTATCAGTACTCAGCTGATGTCTCCATAAAGTACTGCCTGACCAACCCATTTAAAATTGAAATCCTTCCCCAGTACCACTATTGCAGCACTTTCTCTTTGTTTTGTTTTGGGTTTCTGAAACAGAGTCTTGCTATGTAGTTCATGCTGACCTTGAACTCATTATGTAGCGCAGGTTGGCCTCTAACTGGAGGCAATCCTCCTGCCTTAGCCTCCAGAGTGCTGAGAGCACTGGGATCACAGGGGTGCGCCATCACACCTGGCTATCCCAGCACTTTCTATCCCCATGTCTTGCCTTAATTTTATCTAGGGCATTGGTTCTTTTCTAAAATACTCTATTTTTGTTAAATGTTTGATTTACAGTATTCCACAACAGAACTTTCTATTTTGTTTACTACTGTTTTTCCCAGAGCTTAGTGGCTAGCACATTAAAAGGATTCAGTAAATATCTGCAGAGCAAAAGTTCAAGAATGGATAGTCAGGGGCCAGGGATTTAGCTCAGAGGTTTCATCGCCTGCTGCGTAAGCGCAAGGACCCAAGTTCGATCCCCAGTACAAAAAAAAAAAAAAGAATGGATAGTCAAGAACACAGACTTCAAAAGAAAATTGAAATGCAAAATTAAGAAGTGTTAAATGCCTCAATGTACTATCTAATCAGATCATGAGTTCATGAGAATTCATCCTTTTGTTGAATATAATGGATAAAGTAGAATGTTCAAATAACTTCTTTAATATAATAATACCATAAGCCTTTAACACTATAGTAATACATTTAAGATATGTTAGAGACTTTGACCCTAGAAGAGCTCAAAATGTGTTTTTCTTTATTCCACTACAGGGAAGAGCTGACAATGCGAAGGCCACATGAGTGAGCTAGGATGGATAGGTGTGGCTTGCCAAGTAAGTGGTGAAAAGATCAGATTTTTTTTTTTTTAACTGTTACTAGGAATTGAATCCAGGGCTTCTTCCATATAGGGCCAGCATTTGGGGCCTGAGCTACATCCTCAGCACTGTTTTAAATTTTATTTTGAGATAGGATCTTGCTGTGTTGCCCATGCTTGGATCAAACTGGTGATTCTCTTGCCTTAGCCTCTCAAGTTCTGGGATTACGGTTGTATGCCACCATGCATGATTCAAATGTTCTTACAATCTACAGGAGAGGTCCTGCAATCTTCTGGCACTCCTATTTGGATTTATTCTCTACTCATCTAAATCAGATTTTTTTAAAATCTGCCTTCTATCTTGTGCAGGCTAGCGTAAGATGAAAAGATCAGGAAAAGGAAAATGTGACATGGCACAACTACCTGCATCTAGTGTAGCAAGAAAAATGCATTTTCACAGGGTCAAGCTACATTAGAGGGAGAAAAAAGTTAGCATATACCCAAAATGTGCTTAGGAGTCAATAAAGATGTTAGTGGCTCTGGTCTAACGAATGTGGAACTGGAATCTTATCTATAAACTACTTGGGAATACAGCTGAAATTAATTTTAAGATCTTTCTTATCTGTCAGCATAACAGGATCTTAAACACTGTAACCTTAGTGACCATAAGAACTTTTTACAATAAATAACAATAAACTATCTTTAAGGGGAGAATATAGGGAGAGTTTTCAATAAAATGTGAAGTAGTGAACTATTTTACCTGGAATGATCCAAGAATGTCCTTTAAGGGCTCTTCATAAAACTCATCTCTTCCAAAGAACAGCAGCAACTCAAAGAAACTCCTAGAAAGAATAAATGGTAACTTTAATTGCTTCTTTGGGTTTTTGTTCCAGTTTAAAAGATTACCAAGTGATAATTGATATTTAATATCAAATAGTTTATCTTAAGATATTTGATTAAAATAAACATTATCACTTAAAATGCATATTTTCAGGCTGGGGATTTAGCTCAGTGGTGGTGCGCCTGCCTCGCAAGTACAAGGTCCTGAGTTCAATCCCTGGTACTAAGGGAAAAAAAAATCATATTTTCAGTAAGATTTTGAAAGAAATGTATTCAAAAAATAATACAAAACATACTGAAAATTCTATAGAATAAAACAATCGTATTACTTAGGTCTACCATTATGCATGAGGCACTAAAATTCAATGATATACAACATGGTGGCTGTATGTGGAAGGATGATCTACAGTGCAGTTTTACCCAAGAACAACGGGCCACAAAGAAAATTCAAAATGCATTTTCTTCAGAAGGATAGAAAGAATGGGTAAAACTGAAACAAAAACCTAAATCTAGAGGATAAGCTGGATGGATATATCACCATGAAACTCTCAGCTTGTGTTTGTATTTGAGTATGCATCACCAAGTATATCTAATAAGTGATATTGTTTCCTCAGACTCTCGGTGTACTTGATTATTTCACTCATAATAAAAATGCTCAAATTATTCCTTTTTGAATAATTTGGAAAATACTATTACTAAATAGTTAACATACTTTTAATAATTCATGAGTTCATAAAGAAAGGAATATGCATTATTTCCTAATCATGAGCCTGAAGAACTATAAAATTTTTTTAAAATTTTTTTAGAAATTCTAAAGTAATATAAATGACATATCCCTCCAAAATTCAACTAAGAATACCTAAGGTTGTATTTTTATAAATGGTTTTGCTATTAATCAAATCATAAATGAAGACTGAAATTTTAAAATACAGATATAACTATGAGAATATAGGTTTTAAACTATATAAAAAACACTTAAGCAAATGACACACTCAGAAAAAAAATCTTTGCTAATTTTCTTTAATGAAAAAGCTTCCACAAGTAATCTTAAAGAGTCAACAATGTAGTAGAAAATTGGGAAAGACTATTTTACAGAAAATAAATGCAAATGGAGTTTTAAAATATGAAAAGACAGTCTATCTTACTCATAATTTAATAAGCCAAAACTACAAAGATGAAAAGCCATTTTTCCTGTCATATTTGCAAACATTTGATATATCCCATAATGGCTCTGGTATACAGAAACAGGCCATGATATCTTGTTGAAGGAATGTAAATGATTATAGTTCCTTTAAGGGCAATGCATTAATAGTCATTAAAATTTTAAATGTACACATATCATCTGACCTAGCAGTTCAATTTATAAGAATTTCATCCTCCAAATATACACACATAAGTTGAATGATATAAATATAAGGATATACAGTACATTAAAAATAAATTTTATTAGCAAAAGATGAAACCTCCTAAATGTCTACCATAGGTGACAAGAGTAAATTAACTGCAAATACACCCATACAATGAAATATAATAAAAATATTAATAAGAATAATAGAATAGTTACATCTATATGAATAAAAAAATCCCAAGATACATTGCTAAGCAGAGAAACAGACATATATTTATTCACAATTTCACTTTCTATGGTCAACTGCAGTCCAAAAATATTAAATGGAATATTCCAGAAATAAACAACTTAGAAGTTTTAAATCACACACCTTTTTGAGTGGCATGATGAAATCTTGCTCTGCTTACATATGCTACCTGTCACTTCTACACTTAGTAGCTGCTGCAGCTATAAAACAACTGTCAAGGCATTGCAATGCTTGTGTTGAAGAGTAAATCTTATTTTACTTAAAATGGCCCCATAGCACAAAAGTAGTGATATAAAGGAGATACCAGGGGATAAAACATAAAGGACAGATTAACCCTGTTACTATGTAACAGTGCTGTGGGACATGTAAAAACAAACATAGCATATATAGGGTTTGTTACGAACCAAAGTGTCAAGAATCTACATCGTGGAATGTATCACTTATGGATAAAGGAGGACTACTAGATATTGTTATCTTTGTGTAAAAGAAGTTAAGGGGTAGAAGGCACACCTACACTAACACATAAAGTTCATATACTGTCAGATTCGATAGAGGGATACACAACAAATTAGTAAAATCAGTTGCCTCTATATAGGATAAGTAAGATTTAAGGACCAGGGATAAAAGGGAAAATTACTTTATATTATTAACTCTTTTGTATTCATTTTACTATTGATCAGCATGTTTGGAAAAAGTCCCATCAAAAGTATCTCCAGGATGCAGATGAAAACAACACTGAGATTCCACCTCACCCCAGAAAGAATGGCTGCTATCAAGAAATCAACAAATAACAAATGTTGGCGGGGGTGTGGGGAGAAAGGAACCCTTCTCCGTTGTTGGTGGGAGTGCAGACTGGTGCAACCACTGTGGAAGTCAGTATGGAGATACCTCAAAGAATTAGGACTAGAGGTCCCATTTGACCCAGCTATTCACCTGCTGGGTATCTTCCCAAAAGAACTAAAAGAATCATACCACAGTGATGTATGTGCACCCATGTTCATAGTGGCACAGTCTGTAATAGCTAAAGCTTGGAAACAGCCCAAGTGCCCATCAACTGGAAACTGAATAAAGAAGATGTGGTTTCTTTATAAAATGGAGTACTACTCAGCCATAAAGAATGAAAAGCTAGAGTCATTTATAGCTAAATGGAGGCATATCAAGGCCATACTCTTAAGTGAAATAAATAGGACACACGTGTAAATACCGAAGTTTCTCTAGTGTGAGAAATTGATAGTGTAAACAAGGGCTAAAATAATTAAAATGAATAACTGATAATTTGAAATAGGAAAAAAGGTCCAAGGACAGAGTGAAGGGAGGGGAAGGGGAAAGGAAAAGAGGGAAAGGAAAAACTATGAGAAAAGGGAAATGAAATCTATGTAAATAGGGAAGGGCGGAGGGGGTGAAGGGTGCACAGGTAATGGGGAAAAAAATAAGAACCAAGATACATCATGTACAGGTACAAACAACCAATGATAAACGTAAATGAATCGTATACCTAAAATGTACCAATAAAAGAACTAAAAAAAAAAAAAAAAAGTATCTCCAGAATCTTCACCATCCCTATTAACAAAGCACTAATAATTTACATCTATCTCATCTTTAAATTTCTAATAGACCTGTTTCCACTCTTGCTCTTCCATGCTTTCTAAAAGTCCAAGTTCAACATAGCTGCCGTTTATATCTTTCTAAAACATAAAAATGATTCCACTGCTTACAGACTTTACAAACTGTTCTAACCATACCATCTAAGGCACATAACTTCAGCTGACACACTTGTTTTGTATGAATACATTGCTTTAAAAGCATTTAACTGGTTGTCAAGATTTTAAAATTGTGGTATATTTCTAGATTTCTCAGTGCTCTTCCAAAACAGGAACCCCAATAACACGAGTGTTGTATTTCTACATGATAGAATAAACTGTACAGCTAGTGCCTTTAGATAGGTTATGAACTCTTCCCTTCCAATTGGCAGTCTCCATCCACCTTTCTTATTTTACCAGTACACTGCCTGTTTAATTTATGTATCACTTATATTCCCTTTCTATCCTACTTAGATATTTTGAGATCACAGAGCTACATCCAAAAAATCCAAATTTCTCATTACCTATGAATCTTTCTCTCACCCAAATCTACCCTTACACACAAATCTTTTACTATAATTTCCATGCTCTTCAATTCTCCCTATTTCCTAAAACATTTATGCCCTTTCAGATCTTTCGATCTGCTACTTCTTCAAGACCTGCTTATGTGATTTCACCTAGCTACTCAGCCTATAAACTCCTTTCTCTCTAGACAAAAATACAACTTATTCTTCTGTATTTGTTTTTATGTGTTTTGGGGGGGCGGGATGTATCTCCATTGTAACAAGTGAAAAGAGAGTAGTTAAATTTGCATTCAGAAGAGTGATACTGTATCACAAAGTTGAGTAGATAGTATTGACTGATTAGAACAATAGTATTGAAAGAGAGACTAAAAAGGTTGTTAGTGGAAGAAAATATGCTATGGCAGTAAATTTATAATTAGTAGCAGATCAGCATGACCTTCTAAAGAGTCAAATAAAATACAGAGAATTATATTAGTCTGTTTTTGTTACTATAATGAAACATCTGAGACCAGCTACCTAATACAGTACAGAGTTTTACTTTTGGCTCATGGTTCTGGAAGTGCAAGGTAGGGGTGGTCGTGAGGTGTTATCTGATGAAGGCTTTTTTGCCTGATGAATACCAAAGTAGCTTAAGGCATCACATGGTAAGACCCGGGCAGCATGCATAAGTATATGTCTCTATGGTCTCTTTTCCTCTGCTTATAAAGCAAGCAGTCCAATCACTTTAAGCAAAGCCACTTTACAAAGGTCCCAACTTTAAACACCACAGTAGGATTCAGTTTCCACTCTCTTAATTTCTCATAATGGGGATTAAATTTCAATACATCAAGACTCAAGGGGCACTCAAAACTATATCTAAACCACAGCAAAAATGTAGAATTATTATCTGAATTATGTAAATACAAAAAAGAAATCAACAGAGACAGAACTGTGCATGCTCATGAATAGCTATTTCAATAATAAGGTCCAATTTCATGATAATAAAACAAGAAACACACACATACAACATAAGAGGGAATGAATACAAAAACGACATGGTCTAGCCATCTCTGCCTTAGAGGAAGATTAAGAAAGTCAGCAACTATTTGTGAAATAAGAAAATTTGAAATCACTAAAGTAAGATTTCTAAGACTATATGTAGAGGTAAAAATGTTTAAAATTTTATATATATATTGACTAGTGTAAAGGATCAAGTTCTCATAAAAGAAAACTGCATAGTAAATGAACAAAACAGAACAAAGACCCGAAAATATAAGGAGCAGACTAGAGCAGGGTTGGAAAATACTATCTATAGACTTGATCTAGGGAAGGTCAATTTTAATACAGTGCACAAGATAAAAATGGTTAGCCATATTTAAATTATTTGAAAGAAAAAGTCAAAAGAATTTATTTCATGACAAGATAATATTACATGAAATTCAGGTATCTATTATTAAATAAGGCATTATTGAAATACTGTCACACTCATTCATTTACATATGGACTATGGCTGCTTTCACATTACAGTGGCAGAATTAAGCAGAGGCAACAGAGACCTTAGGGGCTGAAAGCCTAAGATGTTTACTATATGTCCCTTTAAAGACCCATGGTCTAGCACATCTGTTTGAATTTGAATAACAGATCCAACTTTACTTGGTGTGTAAACCTAGGAGAGTTACTTAACATCTCAGTACTTTTAGTTTATTTCTAAAACAAAACTAATAATAGTAGCTGCTTTCTGAAAGGCACTTGAGAAACAATCCCTGGTACCTAGTTGTACACATGTTTATTGTTAATCATACAGGCATACCTGGGAGATATTGTACTTCAGTTTAGACCATGACAATAATACAAATGCTGCAATAAAGCAAGTCACTTACATCTTTTGTTTTCCCCTTACACATAAAAGTTATGTTTATATTATACTAAGTATGCAACAGCATTATATATAAAACTATATATACCTTCATTAAAAGTACTTTACTGCTAAAAAGTATTAATGATCATCTTAGCCTTCAGAAAGTCATACTCTCTGCTGACAAGAGGCTCATGTCTCCATGTTGATGACTGCTGACTGATCAGACTGATGGCTGCTCAAAGTGAAGTGGCTATGGCAATTGCTTAACACAGTAACAATGAAGTTTACTACATCGGCTGGCTCTCCTTTTCATGAAAAATTTCTCTGTAGCATGTGGTAATGTTTCCAGCACTTTGGTTAACAAAACAGCATCTCATGCTACAATATGAACTTTCAAACTTGAGAGTTAATCCTGTCAAACCTAGCTTTACTTGCTAAGTTTTATAGTACAGTATTTTTTAATCCTTTGTTGTCTGATGTTCACAGCCTCTTTACCAGGAGTAGATTCTATCTCAAGAAACTACTCCCCCCTCCCCCCTCCCCCCGCTCCAGGGATTTCCTATGTTGCCCCAGCCATCAACTTGTGGGATCAAGTTGATCCCACAGCACTTCCTGAGTAGCTGGGACCACAGGCACCTACCACAACACCCAGGTAGAAGCCACTTTTATCTGTCCTTAAGAAGCAATTCTTTCGTCCCTATCAGGAGATTTCAGTAATTCAGTTACATCTTCAAGTTCCAGTTACCTAATTTCAGTTATCTTACTATTTCCACCATATCTACAGTTATTTCTTTTGTGTTTTGAACCCTTCAGAGTCATCTACAACAGTGAGAATCAATTTATTCCAAATCTCTATTACTGTTGATACAGTATTTTGACCTTATCTCCTGAATCACAAATGTTCTGAATGGCATCTAAGATTGTAAATCCTTTCCAGGTTTTCAATTTACTTTACCCAGACCAATCAGCAAAATCACTGCATAAGGCAGCTCAGGAATAATCTTAGAAAATATATTTCTTAAATCGTAAGCCTTGAAAGTCTAAAGTACTCCTTGAACCATGGGCTGTACAATGGATGCTATGTTAGCAGGCATGAAAACTTTAATCTCATTGTACTTCAGAGCTCTTCAGTAGCCATTTGTATTGATACTGAGCAGTAATGTTTTGAATCAACAATAGGCTTAAAATGTTCAATAAACCAGGCTTTAAACAAACGTGCTACCATCCAAGTACAGTAAGTCCTCAACTGACAAAAGAGTTCCATTCCAGGAGAACTGTTCTTAAGCTGGATTCATTCCTAAGCCAACAAAGTGAGTCTTACACAGTAAACCTATCAAAGTTCGCAACTTGAATCTTCTTAAATTGGTGACTTACTGAAATGCAGTTCCACTGATGAGAACACAGGCAGCATAAATTTACCATAACCCTTAAGGGCCCTAGTGTTTGCAGAATGGCAAATAAACTTCAACTTAGTCATGAACAACATTAGCCCCTAAGCAGAGTTAGCCTGTCCTTTGAAGCTGTGAGGTCTGTCACTGACTCCCCTCCTCGAGCTATCACAGTCATAGATGGAATCTTCTACTAAAAGGCTACTTCATCTACACTGAAAATATGTTGAGTTTAGGCACTGCTATAGTCTGCATCTTAAATGTCCCCTAAAGGCTCATGAGTGAAAGAGATGGTTCTAGCTGTTACACTATTGGGAGGTGGTCAAACCTCTTAAAAGTTGAAGCCAGCAGGAGGTCTTAAGTCACTGGGCACATGTCTTAAAGGGGATCATGGGGGATTTCTCCTCTCTGGCTCCTGGTGCTCATGAGGCAGAGTTTCCTCTGTCATACAGTTGCACCTGACACACACTACTGCCTCGCCATGGGCCCAAAAGGAATCAGCCAACCGACCATGGACTGAAACCTTCAAAACTACTAGCCAA